ATTGCACTCGACTCCGCGTGTTCTGGGCACGGTTCAACCAGACTAAATGCTCGCCCGTCGCGGTGCCATTGTCCGTCGGAGATTCTTTTCTTTCTCCGTCTCTTCGGTCACGGGCAGGATTCCTTGCTCGCGGAGCTGCGCTAGGTACTCTTTGCCTGTGCACCACGTTAGCAAAACATTTTCAAGAGTCAAAGATTGCGTCTTCACTTACCGTATTTGTACCCCACCTCGTAGATCTCTTCGAATTTCGCAAAGTCAAGCGTGCCATACGGATCGATTGGCGGGCGCATGTACCTGCATCCCGGCGTATTCTTCGCCCGCTCCAGCGCATCGATACTAGACACATATGCGAGGCGCGACTGGATCTCCGATAACGTCGGGGGGTTGGGGAAGCTAGAAAATGGATTCCACCGATTGAACGTTGCCCAGAAACCACTCAATGAGTCACCGAAAGACTGCGGTGCGTTGTCATCAAGACTGCCTACGTCGACCGCGAAGATGACGTCGGCACCAAGACTCTTCATATGTGTGACAGTCAGGTTGTCGATATAGCCACCATCCAAGAGCATGCTGCCATTATCACATAGCGGAGGAAGCAAGCCTGCAAGTGACATTGATGCGCGAACGTAGCGCCAGACGTATCCACTGGTGTGGATCTCTGAGCGCGACTTGCTGATGTTTGTGGTATTGCAGTAGAATTCGAGCCAGAAGTCTTCCATCTGAGAATTTCCAAAGGTCTTGAAAATACCGCGGTTAAACTCGTGGCCAGTGGTGTACGAAGCACTGGGGAAAGTCAGCGTTGAACTTTGAGTAGACATGTTAAACTTACGAAGGGTAGGTGAGATCGAGTGCAAATCTCCACATGCTACCCATTCGACCGGCAAACTTCTTCGCGCGGCCATACATGGGAACGACATCTGCATCCCAGGCATACAGTGCACCTATGAAACTACCGATAGATGTACCGCCCACAATATCGATTGGAATACCAGCTTCTTCAAGTGCGCGGATGATACCGATTTGCGATATACCACGTGCGCCGCCACCGCCCAATACGAGACCGACTGAGCGACCGCACAGACGTCGTGCGAGGCGATGGAAATCGCCCTTGAACGGTGTGTCTGCCGAGTACAATGGCGTCTGGCGGACTTTTCTCGATGTATACTTCTGAATCTCCGCCTGAATTACCTGCACTCGTTGCTTGAGAGCATTTCCAAAGCGTCGTCCGGCATGGTGAACTGGCTCCGAGGTTGCGCGGAACGACATTTGGATGTGATGATGACTGCCATTGATCCAAGGGCGGTTGCGTAGCCACTTCCGTGTGAGACCCGACGGACAGTATCTCTCCGAATGCAAAAGCACCAACTCTTTGCGCGCAGTAGTTTTCGTTGTCAAGAGGAACCGCTCGTACTCGCCGATATTTGGAGACGACTCAGCTAGACCAACGAGAAGAATGCAATCGGCCTGGTTGATGCATGTCTGCGTCCATGGTGATTTTACTGGCGTGTCGGCGACATAGATGACCATGCCATATCTTTCTTCCAAATCGGCGAGGTATTGCGAAAGCTTGAGTTTTCCCATTCGACTGAAGGCGTGTCGTCCGAGATGGTTGAGAATGGCAGCCTGGTTGAGAGAGACCACGCCTTGTGGCATGCCAATCTGGGTCAGCGCGTTCACTAGTCGGCTTCCAAAGTCCACTACCGGAATCCCAGCAGTCACTGGAAGTACGGCAACAGTGCGCAGATTAACTGTTGAGGACACGTTCGCACGGGTGGCCTTCGTCCCACGCTCTTTACTCTGTTCATGAAGTGGGTCATCAACCAAAGCTCGCATGCGGGAGGCGATGATCTTTGAGATCTTGATCGTGATGCCAGGATGTTCCAGTGCCAGGCTGTTGAATAGTGTCTTCGGAAACTTCGCAAGCTCTGTATCTCGGATGGCATGCAGCGAGCCCGGTCGTGATGACTCTGTGAGTACTTCGAGTTCGCCAACGCTGTCACCTTGACCGTATTCACCAATGACCTTTACCGCGCTGTTCTCGGCGTCGCGGATAGCGCGCAGTCTTCCGTTCAAGACGATGTATATAGCATCGCTCTCATCACCTTGGTTGTAGATCACTTGTCCCGCATTTACTTGAACCCATTCCAAGGCGAAGTCAATATGCTGGATCAGCCGTGGTAGGAGTGTTGTAAGACGTTTGGCGATTGTGAGCAATACAACTGGGTATCGTTCGACAATCCGCTCTATCGCTGAGCGAGGCAGGAAACCTACGTAGACATCGGTCTTGGCTGTGACATCGACGAAAGAGCGGTTCGATGATACTGCTCCAAGATAGCCGGCTAGTCCACCAGGCTTGGTCATAAATAGACTACGTCTTGTGCGCTTCTTCTTGGTACCATCGGCAGCAGTTCGCGAAGGCGTGCTTGATCCGGGCGGGCGGGATGATGGGCCGAAGAGGTCATCCTCGGTGTAGCCCGGCCCATTGGGAAGGGTTCCCAGTACGTTGGACTCAGGCGAGTCTTCCTCCACAGGCACGCTCACGTCCAAGAACCCATCAATCACGTAGTACAGGCCAGGATTTCTTTCTCCCTGCTCCACCAGCACAGAATCCTTGGGGAAGAAGACGATTTCCACATCATTGACGATCTCTTCCAGGATGTTGTGGGCCCCTGCAGTGCTCATGCTCGACATGCCAGAGGCTGATGCTACAGACTCTGTGTCTCCATCCTTAGAGCCCGCGTACGGATCCATGAAGCCAAATGCATTCGTGAACACAGCCTTCTGTCGCCTGGCATCGAAAGAGACGAGTTGAGGTGACTGTTCGACTGACGCGGTTGGCTTAGGCATGGGGTTTTCTGGGTTGATGAGTCCAATAGCCTTGAACATACATCCCAGTATAGACTCCCTGAACACAGTAGCTTCATCAATAGATTCCTGTCGGTGCAATGTTTTCGGACGTAGCGATGGAGATGCGAAAGGGTTGAAATTGCTGGCATCCAACGGTGTACGATTATCTCGACGTTCCTGTTGATGTTGGTATGGTTGAGAGAAGCTACTGCGGCCACTCCGACCAGTTCCCCGTGCCATTTGCGAATTGGTCAACAGGTCACCTGCGCTGATTCGGTCGTTGCGTGGTCCTTGATCTGGCGAAGTGATTTTGGGTAATATTTCGTTATTTGCGTTCGCGTTGGCCCCACGAGCGGCGGCGAGGCGGGCTTGCGCAGCGGTTCCTCTCCTAAGGGATACACTGGACCTTCGTCGTCGGCCGGCGCCGGGGTTGTGTAACGCGATGCCTTTCATGCCCTCGTCTGAGCCGATGCGCTCCGTCTCCTTCGCGAACTTCTCCTTCAGTCGCTCGAGCGGAGCATCACGCAAAAAGCCAGGAAGATCGTATGTAGTATACTTGTTCATGAGCTTCTCCGTGCGGAGGACCTCATTCGTCAAACTGAGATAAGCATGGCTGGTTGCGAGCGTAACTCTTTGTAGGCGCGTAAGGATGACCTGAACAATGTGCGCCGTTGCTTTGGGGTATATGCGCGTCAGTCGACGAAATGCAGTGGCTGGGATTATAGCGATGGTTGTGTCTACGGTCGCGCGCGCGACAATGTCTGGATGGGCAGATTTAGGCTTCGCAGGGCGCGAAGGTGATCCTCGAGTTTTGCTGTGCTTGAGTCGCTCATCACCAAGTCCGTCTAGATCCAGCGACAGAGGCGGCACGGCTTGAAGGCGCCCGTCTGCTGTTGGACTGTTCAGAGTAGATGTTCTTCGATGCCCGAACTTGGCCTCAGGAACTTGGTTTGGTGTATGCGGTCTCGAATCGTCGAATGCAAAGCTACTGTTCCGTGACATAGATGGCCTTAAGTCTTGCTGAGGCGACCCTGGAACACTTGGCCTTGGGTCTTCATCATCGTCATGACGCAGCTTGACATCTTCTGTAAACAGAGAGAGAATGGAGAACAACGAAGACATTGGGGCTCCGTTCTTGACTTCAGTAAGAAGTTGATAGCCCTGCCGGTGGCCCTGATTCGCGGAGTCGCCGGACGATTCCCCGCCCATGTCATCCTCATCAGAGTCTGAATCATTCCGGTTTGACTTGACAAAGATCTGGACCAAGCCATCTACTACCAGACAAAAGCCTTTCTCTTCTTCCAAGAGAATGGTCTCACCAGCCACCAACCGACGAGTCTGCATAGTGCGTGTTAATTCGTGGAAGACTGGACGCTCCAAGTAACCGAACACTTTGATCGCGCTCAAAAATTCATCCAAGTAGTTGGACAACCCCCGCTTGGAATCATGTTCGGCGCTGTCGGGAAAGACTTCAACCTGTGGTTCTTCACGCTGCGGCTCAGGCGGTAGTCGCGCGTACATGGTCATGTATCGGTACCTTACGAAGTAGCTGATGGTAGACACAACAAAGACGACGACGAGCATCCTGCAAATGTTTAGCTAAGATCGGTAGAGAGCGCTGGTAACGTACAGAGTTGTGAAGTTCATAGTGAAGGTCAAGCTCATGGAAAAGAGCGTAAACAGCCATGTCGGCAGGGTATAGGTAACCCAGTACAAGACTGTGGGCAGGACACTGAATATGGACAGAATGACACGGCCCAAGAGACCAAAGCTGGTTGACGGCGTGGTATCGGCGGGCTTCATGCCGAGTATAGAGTTGGAGAGCGCCTCTGCTTTGTTATATACAGCTGCTCTGGAAACATCTGCCAGTGACCGAGATGTGGCAGTTCCCGGGACTGCCATGGTGGCCATGGTGGGCGAAGAAAGATCAGTGCCGAATTCGGACCGTCACGAGTCAATATTTCCAGACGTTTCTAGAGTTGCTAATCTAGTGCGGTAAAGACAGGAATCCCATGATGTGCCGTGCTGCGGGCACGTTGAAATCCGCGGGTATGTACTGGGGGCGCTTGCATGTGGGGTGCCAGCCTGCCAGCTTGTGAAAGGCCGGGCCCGTGCATCGATTAGCGTGGAAGTCGCGAAACTCCACCGCGGTAAGCCTGGAGCTGTCACTCGCGCCGGAGCTTGTAAACATCACCCATTGCGCCACGATGCCGCCTTTTAAAGATGACCAGATAATCGTGAGTCTCACGTGCATTCGACGTGCCGCACGTGCGCTAACCGTGTTAGATCATTGCGCCTGGCTCGGAGACGACGGTCGCGCAGCTGGGGCTCCCCGAGTCTTTCACGCCCGCGCGTCTTCGCGTGAGATCGCGCATGTTCCCCGCAGAGAAGGAAGGTGAATTCGAACCATACAAGATCCGAAGAAAGCAAGATCAGCCCACCGCGACGAATGGCGAACCCACCGATGAGTCGCAACAAGAGAAGAAACCCACCGAGGGCGACGATGAAGTAGTGTGGGAAGAAGACCGCGTTTCGGAAGAAGGTGCCATATGGCCCATTCAGCAAGGTCGCATTGTTGACTGGCCATGCTTCTTCGCCCTCATTACGCACACCTACAACTCTCTGAACCCGCCCTTCCACACTCCGATCCTCCTCATCACGCAACCAGCATGGACCCCGCGAGAGCACGAGAAGCTCACCCAGTTCTTCTTCGAGAAGTTCAAGGTGCCTGCTTTTGGGCTCATGGACGCAGCATTGGCAACGACATGGGCATACGGTGTACACACAGCGACAGTGATAGACGTTGGCAAAGACAAGGCAGACATCACTGCTGTCAGCGAGTTCATCCCGCACACTCAGGGTCGCGTCATCTCACTGGAAGGATGTGGAGGCGAGGCCTTTACCCAAGGGCTCTTGGCTAAGCTCAAGTCCAAGGGTCTTAATCGCGACATGTGCGAACAACTCAAGCGATCACCAATTTGTGAACTTCTGCCCCCAGGAGTTCCGCTTCCAGGCCCCGGAGATGCACCTACCAAAGACGCGGCGACCAACCCTGCAGCACTTGCATCAACCGGCGCCACAGGTCCTGGCGCAGCAGCAGCAGCTTCCATCGGAAACGTGCCAAGAGGGCCTGGCATCGATACCGAAGTTGGCGAGGACGCGAGTCTTGAGGAGAGCGAAGGTGTTCTGGACGTGGCAAGCATCGTCGCTGGCGGCAAGATGTCGGAATACCTAGCTAAGAAGGAGAAGGAGAAGCAGGAGAAGGCTAATGCGAAGAAGAAGGGTGGTCCGGCCCCGGCAGCCAACAAGCCGGTCAGATTACCCAACTCCCGACTTGAGAAGGCCACATTCCTATACGAAGACCACGCGCTTCTGGACACCTTGAAGAACATGAATCTCAATACCCAGGAGATGGCAGATGCGAAGGGCGCTCTTGACGAAGGGCCAAACAGGAAGGGGCAAGAGAATGGAGAAAACGGCGAGCCTACATCCGCAACCGAAGCGAACGGTACCAGCGAATCTGGTGCTACCGGTAAACGCACAGGATCAATAAGACGTGAGATCGAGGTCGGCACCGAGCGATTCATGGCAGATGGCGATGGCACACTGGAGAAGATCGCAGACGCTGTGCACAGGGCTATATCCTCCATCGACGAGGTCGGGAAGCGAAGCGACCTATGGGAACAGCTCATCGTCTGTGGTAACGGTTCCAAGCTACGAGGTAAGACTTGTGCCACGTTTGAACGATCATCGTGCATCTGCTGACATATGTACAGGTTTCAAAGAGTCGCTCCTCCAAACCATCCAGACCAAGTATCTGGTCTCGCCGTCCTCCGCCACGATTTTCACATCCGAGATCCCATCCAACGTGTCAACGCCCATGGGAACCGGCGCGAACACACCGCAGCCCCAACTCGGCCCGCATGGCGGCTCACAAGTCAACCCACTTCTGCTCGCAGCAACGACCGCGCAGACACAACACATGATGCCACATGGAGGCATGCCTGGCATGGGAGGTAACACCCACTCATCGCACGGCCAAACACCCACATCGATCAAATTCATCAAGCCGCCGGAGTACTTCCCTGAGTTCAAAGACGTTGGTTTCGATGAGTCAGCCTTCTTAGGCGCTCAAGTCGCAGCCAAGGTTATCTTCGTTGTCGATCAGGGTCAAAGTAAGGGTTACATGACCCGTCCCGATTACAACGACCAGGGTCCACAGGGCATCCACGATTACAGCCTATAATCCGAGATCTAGGTCCTTGGATTACGAAGTTGGCTTTGACAAGCAAGGCCTTGTGTTACTTTTGCAAACCCGCCATTTGTGGAGTTTAGGCACGGTTTATGGATATCCCGGCGTTGCCAAAAAGGGAAGCCTGTCAAGTTTGATGAAACGGAATAGGCGATTGTCGCGATAGGCTAGCGGCGTATTGCGAGATGCTTACTCCAAATCCTATTTTCATGACCACCCATCCGTCCCATTCTTTCCTTTTCCACTCGCCAACTTTGTGGGAGTGAAACGCCCATCTCATTTCTTCTGGTAGTTAGGCATCGGAGTACGCCGATCGCCCTGGGGGCTCCGCTCCGCTCCCCACGTGCTAGGCATTAGCGAGTGGCTAACCGGATCTAGCCATTCTTACTTCTGGCAACTGATAAAGGTCGCCAGTGCCACTCGCTTTATATCGTTCTTGTCTTGATTGCCTTTTTGTTCATCTTGCCCAATCTCTGACATTCACGCGTCGTGTGAAGTATAAGTTTATTTCGATAATTGCCCTGTTCACGAAGTCCCACACTAGAGGCTGCATCTCGGTACCTGCTCCGATCTCCTGCCGCGGCTAGAACACGTCTTCACATCCAGGGGACACGAATGCGAAACTTGGTACTTAAAAAGCAGGATTTCCAGACAGTAAACATACATACAAACACTATCATGGCAGCTTCAACACCCATATCGAATACGATTTACACCGGCCCCTTTGTGCACAGCAAATCACTCTCAACACTCGAGATCCAGGAACGCGGCGCCATCTTCGTAGACTCCTCCGGCATAATCCGTTTCGTCGAGAAAGACATCCAAGAAGGCGACCTCCCCACTCTCATCCAACAAAAAGGCGACTCATGGACAGACGCGAAGATTGTCGAGATACCCGGCACTGGCTTCTTCTTCCCCGGCTTCATAGACACTCACGTCCACGCCCCCCAACACCCCAACACAGGTCTCTTCGGTAAAACTACATTACTAGATTGGCTCCAAAAATACACATTCCCCATGGAATCCTCCTTCTCCAAACTCCCCCTCGCACACCGCGTATACCAAAACTTTGTCTCACGGACCCTATCTCACGGCACAACAACAGCCGCGTACTTCGCCACCATTCACGTCCCCGCCACCAATGCACTCGCAGACATATGTCTGGCACGCGGTCAGAGAGCACTAGTAGGACGCGTATGCATGAACAGCGATTTAAGCCCCGAGTACTACAGAGACTCAAGCACCGAAACAAGTTACGCGGATTCAAAAGCCAGTATCGACTACATCCGCTCCATCGACCCCAAAGGCGAGATTGTGAAGCCCGTCATCACACCCCGTTTTGCGCCGAGTTGTACACCGGATTGCCTGTCTGCTATGGGCCGACTGGCGAAAGAGACAGATGCACATGTCCAAACGCACATCTCGGAGAATAAAGGCGAGATCGAACTTGTCAAGGAATTATTCCCTGATAGCAAGAGTTATGCAGATGTATACGACACCCACGGCCTCTTGACAGACAAAACCATCCTAGCCCACGCCGTCCATCTCACCCCCGAGGAGCGCAAATTAGTTCTCCAGCGCAAGAGCAAAATATCGCATTGTCCGGCGTCGAATACGGCGATTACATCGGGGTGTGCGCCCATTCGCGATCTACTGGATGAAGGGCACACCATCGGTCTCGGCACGGATGTCTCGGGTGGTAATTCGCCGTCGGTATTAGAAAATGTGCGGCAGGCGATTTGGGTGTCGCGGCATCTGTGTCTCCAGACTTCGAAAGATAACGCGAAGCTTTCGACGGAGGAGGCGTTGTTTCTTGCTACGAGGGGTGGGGCAGCCGTGTTGGGGATGGAAGATAAAGTGGGTGGGTTTGAGGTTGGGATGGAGTGGGATGCTCAGATGATTAGTCTTGGTGTTGTGAGTAAGGATGGTTGTCAGGATGGGACGTTTGAAGAGGGGCCGGTTGATGTGTTTGGCTGGGAGAGCTGGTCGGATTTGGTGGAGAAGTGGGTGTATAGTGGCGATGATCGGAATACAGTGGCGGTGTGGGTGAAGGGGGCGTTGGTGCATCGGACGGGGAGGTTTACTGGTGTAGAAAGGGTTGCGACGCCTTGATGTGACGTAGTTGTCAAATTGCCTTTCGTGCTCAATATAGACCACTTAACATCATCTCTCATCATAAGACACAAAAAAGACAAAATAGAAAGTGAGATACCGGTCACACTGTAAGGCAGAGAATGGGTCCAAATGACAGGCGGAATGTGAGTCAGCATAGGACGCGCAACATGAGACTAAACATAAGGCGGAACATCAGTCAGAGTGTTAGGCAAAGTGAACGCCAAGATAAAGGGAAGAAATCCTCGTCAGCGTGGCTATGCTGTGTGATGGTGAGAACTCCGAGTACATGCTTCCAAGGTATACTTCAGTTCTCGATCAGATCAGAACGTTACGAAAGATATATAACTAGTCTACGCTGGAGGCGTCTTGTTATTTTACCATCCCCCATTACACCTCAATTTTTCCCTCTCATTCTCTTACATTTCCGCGCCATGGCAAAACTTCAACTCGCCCTTTCCATGCTATGCGCTTCAGTAGTCCTCGCCAGCCCATTCCTCTCGCCCGAGCTCGAGGACACTTTCGTCAGTCTCAAAGCCAGACAAGAAAAGCTTGATGATCGCAAGAACCTTGAAGAGATCTGTGGGCACGACCCCGACGACGCCAACCCTGATGTCGCCGAAGAGATTTGGCGTGTGACGGGCGCTGACATCACACTCGACATCATCGCCTTGGGTATGTACGACAACTGGGTTCGCAACATGGACCAAGCTGTCTTTGATAAGCAACAGTCGGACTCCTGGGACTGCGCCAGTCTTGATGGGATTTGTGGAGCTGCCGCCGATTGCCGTAAGTTCTACCCTCAGCCAAATACGAATGTCAAATACTTACTGCAACAGATGAGTTCTTCGCGCGTGACCGGCCGGAGTACTATTGGATCATGTCCTCCGTTTCCAAGGCGCACACCGTCCTCAAGACTCTACACACGGAGCTCGATAGCAGTGTTCTTCTAACCGCACTTAGCCTTGATCAACTCAAGACAGACTTCGGTGTTACGGACCCCAAAATCAATCCATATGGCGTTGCTAATGGTGCTTTTGCTTCGGCATCTGGTGTCTTCGGAATGGCGGGACTCAGGAGCCCAAATCTCGCAAATCTCGCAGGACCTTACGGCGGAGCCCTTGCGGTGATTAGTGGTGGTTTTGGAGTAGCCGCGTCCACGTACCAGTCGAGCGACCCCGGAGCAACAATGGAGGCCATGTTGGCTGATTACTTCAATCAGAGCAGGAACGCACTTGCCGACATGGCGCGGAACCTGTTCGGGGAAGGCGATCAAAACAAGCTTCCCGAAGCTGGACAATCAGGTGATCGAAACTACTTCCAATCACCGGTGGGACGAACTTTCAACGAAGGGAAGTTCGTTATAGCGAGTGTCGACCGTGTATGGAAAGATTACATCAGTGTTGGTAATAAACTATTGGTACGTTAGTAAAGTCTCATTGTACCAAATTCTGGCTAACACGTGGCAGCAACAAGCACTTGGTACCCGTCTCCTGAGCGAATTGGGCTACCTTGTCTTCATCAATGTCGGTATTGAGAAGGAAGAAGATTGCGTAGGTGACGAGAAAAAGTCTAACATATGGCACAACGACCTGTGCATGGGTATCTACCACGTCCCGGAGAGAAACAATATACAGCTGCAACGACAAGACATCAGGTACATCATGCGCCCACTCGACGGTAGTTTGGTGGATACAATGACTGGGAAATACGGATTCAATCTCCAGGATGTTTACTCAAATGCAATCGAGTGCAAGAGAGCCCGTCAGGATGGTGAGCGAGAAGTCAACGCTCAAGACCTTCCTTACGGTGGCGACTGGCCACAGTGTATGTTCAACATTGACGTGATCAAGGGTCGCTGGGAGGGTCATGAATGGTTCACGGGATTTGAGGCGCTATGATCTAGCGAGTTTCTTTGTTTGCGATACTATTCATTCGAGAGGACCGGAACGTATAGGCGGGGTATTGGATCCAGAAATTTTGGAGGATTGTTGCCGTCTATAGAATGCAATGTCAGAAATGTCTCGTGGTATGGAAATGATGAGAGCTCGATCCCATGGCTGTTGCTTTTGACCGTTGTACATTTCAGTCATCGATTAACGTCACCCCAAACCGAATCTCGTCTTTAGACCATTCAATGTTTAGAACCTGAGCAAGCATCTCGCCAATTTCCATGAGCTGCCTCCTCCTCTCAACGAGTTCGAGGAATGTATCCATCGTCCGGCATGCATGACGCAGCAGTTTCATGGCTAATCCCTCTGGGGAAATGCTGTAGTCGATCTCTATATCCTCAGCGTCGTGTGCTAGCCCTTGTAAAGCGTACACTTTGTCTAGAACGTTCGTGGCTTCTTGATGGCGATACGTTTCTAGCAAGCCCATTAAGCATGCGGGTTGGCGTTCACCAGAGCCACCAACGCTCTGATAGCGGTCATCTCGCTCCGCTTTCGCAAAAACTATGATAGCTGCCGGAGAATCAAGAAGTGTACGAGGTAAGCGCAAGCGACTTCCCGTGAAGTGCTGATACCACCCTCGCACTTGATTGGCCAGAGCCCACAAACTTCCCAACTCAGTACGCATGTTGCCACACCATATCGTGCACTGTCTTGCGAGCATGACCTCTTGTATGATCCAGACTCTACGCCAGTATCTTTTATCGCATAATTCGATGATGCCTTTTGCTTGTGGTTCGGTGCCAAATTCTGCCTCTTGTTCTATAAGAAAGGGATTAGGTGTGCGCTCTATGAGAAACTCCATGCCGCGGTTCAGATAGGACAGGTCGTAGAAATCGCCCAGCCAGATGGAGACTGAAGTGGCTCTGCGATATATCCGGCGCATGATCGGAATCTGATGGCTTCGTTCGTATTCGTTGCTCTGATTGATACAGATAGCATCGATCCAGTACATACGATACTGCTTTTGCGACCGCATCTCTTCTAGGAAAGTCCACAGATTGCGACCAACTGCGAAAGGCACATCATTTAGTTCGATATCGATGGAAGCGATGACTGAGCCCCACGTGTATGATAACGCAGTGAATTCTGGCAGTCTCGAATGAAGTGAGTATACTCGGGTGCTGCATTTGATGGGATCAGAGAGCCTGCCGGGTCGGAGTTCCAGCAGCCTGAACTCTTCGCTGAATTGATTGAGCGGCCACGGGCCGTAAGCGCTGCGCTTGGGCGCGTAAGGGTTGTTCATGGTTGCAACTTCCACTAAAGCTGGACTTTCGTGCGCAAGTCCACCCTATTTTCCTTGAGGCATTAGTCGAGATAATTGAATACCTCTCAGGTCTACTTCAGAGTGAGACGTCATACAGGACACAAGGTACGCTAGAATGATCGCGTCGACCTAGCCAGTGCGTGGGGCGGCACACATCGCAAGGCGCCTGTGCAATGTGCTGGGAACGGTACTTGCAGGTGAGGAATATCGCATCAATTCAATTAAGAGTAGAGAGTCGTACACTGAGAAAATATGATTCATGGGCGAAGACAGCACGCATCTTTCGGGCGGGGCAACAGCGATGCAGTGCGGGGATACATACCTCCTGCGGCTGAAAAGATGCATTTCAGCCGCAAATGCTACTGGTGGAATCATGCCAGCTTGTATCAATGCCCAGATGCGACACAGCGATCAGGCTGAACCGAGACACCCAATTAGGTTCAATTGCGACGAAAAATCTATCAAAACATCACGCGAGGAACCGAAGTAGAATGCTTGGTCGTGAAAGTCAGAGAAAGGAGTCAGAAATGGCTTCGACAAGGAGATTAATGTGGGGTCGAGCTTGGATCCCTTGACGTCCTCCAGCACTCAGCATCACAAATACCAAGACACGACAATTTTACACGGACACAGTGCATGTCAGAACATCCACGCTGAGAGCAGATTCTTGATTTCGCATCTTGTATATCGTGCGTAATGACTTCAATTAAAAAGAAAATACTTTCTTATTTCTTCAATCCAAGTTCCATCAACGCCTTCTTACCCTTCGTACCCTCTTCTTCCCACCACAGACCTCTTATCTCCAACCCTACCTTTCCAAACAAGTCCTTCCACTGCGCCTCAGTGCGTTCCGAAGAGCCCAAGTTCATCATTTGCCAATCCATCTTGGCATCGAAATGCACAACCTCCGTCTCCGTCTCTGGTAGAATGACTTCATGAATTAGCACTACACTATCCTCAGCCATCGAGTTGACAATGTTTGTCAAGATTGTAAGGGCTTGCATCTCTGGCCAGTCGTGTAGAAGCATGCGCAAGTAAAAGGCTTTTGCGCCCTTGACGACCGGCGGGAAGGGATCGAAGAAACTATGTCCGACGGTTACGACGCCATCAGGCAGACCCTTAGCCTGTGCGATAACGCTTGGAAGATCCAACAGCATGCGCACACCTGGCAGCCCCTCTGCACGCTCGCAGAACTTTACTACTTGATGACCTACGCCGCCGCCGACATCGACGAACAGGGGGCGCGAGGGCTCGGTAATAGCGAGGCGCTCCTTGACCGGGTACGATTGCACAAATTTGTTGTGCTCACCTGGCTTCACCAGCGTCATCGTTTCGTTGAAGGCGTCGAACATCTTCACGTTCTCCGGCTTGTTCATGAAGTCAAAATAGGTCTCGCCTTTGCAGCCATAGGCGAAGCAGAAGGGGCTATCGCGGGCGTCTACGGGATGCTTGTACCCGTTTGCAGCGAAGTAATCGGGGAACTTCGCAGCCGAGCGGAAGTGGTAATGGAAGTGGATAATGGCGCTGCGAAGAGGTGCACCCTTTGCTATGGCACGGCCGAAGGCAGTTGGGGTGTAGCACTGTGGATAGTCTGCTGTGGAGGTGAAGACTTCGGGAACGAGCATCTTGAGGATACGGTCTTGATTGGATCAGTAATTGATAGCTCGTGATATTTTCGATGGAAGAAAGCTTACTGATTAACCTGATATCTGCTTTGCTCTTCTCTGCCAGCTCGACGGCGGTGATAGGCCCATTGTTTGCTATGGCGATGTCGACAAGGTTGAGGTCAACGGCGAGAATGATCACAATTGGGTCGTAAATTGCCTAGCATCATTAGTCCTGTGTTATGGTATAGTGAGCATATATTTCGGATGTAGAATGGATACCAATATAGAAAAGACGCACGAAGAAATGACGTAGAAACTTGTCCATAGGAGTCTCCAGGGCTTGTGTGAGTTTCTCGGAGGCCTGCAGTAAGGCGAGCCGGTCAGCCTCATCGAGACCTGCTGGTCCCTTACTGGCAAGGGCGAGAATATCCTGGGTAAGTGTCATGCTCGATGTTGTATTTATTGTCGTTTGAAGTGGAAGATGGGTAACTTTGGCAGATTTTTCTTGACCTACAGCCACTTGAAGCAGTACTTATGCCAACGCGCTCGGTATGTATCTTCAACCTGATCGACAGCAAAGAGACAGCTATTCCAACTAGACGACGAGCCTACACCGGACGGCAGCTCTCGACATGCCCTACAACTTTCACCAAACTTGGGCCATCTATCGTAGATCGCGGCGAAAGCAGCCTTGCGCCTAACTTGCTCACACTACGCCAAGTGCACCAACCTATCAAACCTACCGCGATACATGTACAGACCTCGTGCCCACACTCGTCTTGTAATGCACCGATTTAATGAATGCGCCGAGTGTGCGAATATACCGAGAATGGAAATAACCCGCATGTGACGGATGTCCCCAGATACCTAGGTACTACTTCGAAGGCAAACTGGTTCTTTGATCATACTAGACTAGACCGGCTCTCAATGCAAACGAAGCGCATGCCGTATGAACTCGAGCATGTTCGCCAGAAACACAATGCCGTGCTGGGATCCTTCGCGTCTCCCGTCTTTCGGAGAAATTTTAGTCCGCACGTGCCAACAGCCCCACGTGCACCTTCCTCTAATCCAAACACACGATAAGTCACTTCCGGCTGAAACGCTCAGCCTCAAATGTTTAGTATTCACGAAACGGACGTAGTAGTTGTTCCCGCAAACGCGAAGTGTGCATTACGCGACAGAGGATTGAGAACAATCCTACTTTGGTTCGCAATGTCCGACTCGACCCACCACTGCTTCAGGGTCAACGATTCTATACGCGTACGTCGTAACAACGCTTATACGATGTTCATAGTATAACAGGCGTGATGTGCATTTTTTTTTCTTAGTTAACTAGGATACCGACCTCTTACATTCGTTTTATTGTGCTCTTTATCCCTATATCTTCGTTGTCACTCGTTTTTACCATCATCATGGTGGCCTTCAATTCCATTATCGCATTCTCGGCTTTCGGTCTGGGTGTGCTGGCACACCCGACCATCAAGCATATCGACCGACGCTTTTGTTCGCTCGAACAACGCAACATCTTCGCTCGCTCGCAAGATCCGACTTCGCCCGCACCAATCCCCAAAGCGACGACATGGAACCCGCCTTCCGACATGGTCACCGGCCTAGACCAAGTATGGAAGCAAACCATGAAGGAGAACCCTCAAGGTCTTCAAGACAAGAACTGGATCATCGATCAAATGATGGCCAACAACGGGAGTATCAACTACTGCGTTCGCTGGAACCACTCGGGCAAAAGCACTGCTAGTGCGCGCGCGTCCACCGTCGAAGCTTTGCAGCGCTCGATGCACAAGTGGTTTGACGTACTCGTCGGTTTCGAAGGGTTTCCACTTACTGAACTCAATGTCGACGTTGTCGGCTATGCTGTCAAGGACAAGAACCTCATCGAAGGTGATGTTGCTGATCTAGACATCTACACCACTACCGATGGTGACGGCGTACCCGAGTGCGATCCTCGCTGCTATCGCGCCGCTCATTTGGATGGCGACATGAGCCAATGCCCCGGTGGCGACGCCAGCCGCTACGACATCAGCCTATGGCTTGACAAGAGTCTTGAGGGCCAAATGGGAGGCTATGGATATAACTGGGGAGAGGAGATTGGTCCGGATTACTTCCTGAACAATATTGACCAGGACAATATTCACATCTTGCTCCACGAAATGGGGCACGGCTTCGGTCTTCTAGGTATGCTTTGCATCTATTTGGTGAGTATTGCCACTAAAGCTGTGTTAGACTTCTACGATTGGGTGCCTCAGGGCCAGACCAACTTCATCATGATGGCCGGTAGCGCCATGGAGATTACGGAGTTCGACGCTTGGATGCTGAGGGATTGGTGGAGGAAGTTGAAGGCGGAGCGCAAGTGGTAGGCTACTATGTTCGTGGAAGTAGCAGTACCTCGCGCATGGCTAGATCTTTGGACTCCTTCAGTGTACTGATGACTGGGGTATAGTAAGAAGCTTTGATTTCGTTCTCCTGTACATTTGTTATTAGTCTGGTATGCGATATAAGCTTTGGGGCGCTGGAGCACCAAGTCATGGCGAGACTTTAGAAAGCGTTAAGTAGGATGATCAAACTAGATTGATTCTTCCAGCTTGCAGGGATGTTTGCGTAAAGGCCTCGCCGTCCATCAATCCATAAACGAAGCAGTCACCTATCAAGCGAAAACCATCACGAACTGGAGTATCGCTAAGGCTGGAGACATTTCCGTCACCATCTGTAGTGACTGATCCATCGTTCCGAACGATGAACGGAACATTTCCACCCTTAAAAACATATACTCTATCGCCTACGACGGTCGTTCTTGGGCCAATACCCATGTATCCAGATTTGGTAAGGAAAAAACGTCGGGACGCTGTCGCAGTTTTGAGAGCGTGATGTATTCCAGATATGCCTTCGTTGAGGTCGCGCTGCGAAAACGACGCTGTTCGAGAAAATGTGTCTCGTGAGATGCATCGAGACCACATGCTCCACGCCCTAAAGGACTCGTAATCGTCTTTCGTAGCTCGACGATAAGAGCTCTTCATCTCACGAGTATTTGGAGCAGTACCCACACGTATCAGATCCCCGATCAATGTCCGCCAAAAGACATCCTGATATAGCTCGCCAGTAGGATATGACTTTGAGCTTTGCACGAAGGGATTAGTGAGCAGCTTCCAGGACTTTATGACGGCGCATGTATCGCTGATCTGTGTATGTCGGCTAACCTCGCCAATGGTGGACACGTAGTCGATGTACACAGCCTCGATCTCCAGTGCATTGTTCTCCGGATGGTACCGAACCGGACCTTCACGGTTACCGCTTGCGCTGTACATGTTCAATGAGCCAACTCTTTCTATTTCAATCGGGAGACATGGTAGCGACCAGTCCATTACCCAAGAAGGAAGGCCTTCAAGACGTTTGCGGTTCAGAACAGCTTCAAGGTCTCCTGCGAGGACTGAGAGTGATCCTGCTCGTCGTAGGTTGCCCCAAGTCGTTCGAGTGAAGATTGTTGTAGCGTCGTTATTATAATCGGGGATCAACGCTGGCAAGTTTTGCCAGTCTGTAGTCAATCCGAGGAGAGCAAAAACTTTATCTCGTTTGTCAGTCGCTTGTAAGGGTCGAAACTTCCAAAGTAGATCAAGTAACGTCGCGTTCTCGGAGCTACTCTCGTGACAAAGTCTGGTCTCCTCGATTCGAAGCACGAAGTTACTGAACTTATCCAGGGTATCTTGCCCATAGAGCGTCCCAGCCAGGTCCAGGCACAACGTGTGACGCTGCTGGACATAGCTCACGGCAGCGCTAGCGAACATTGACCAGGGGGCTGAAAGCATGCCGTAGTGTACTGTGGCGTGTCTTGAGAGTACGGTCTCTTGAATGACCCAAATGCGCTGCCACTATCAGTACTATTGTCAGTTCAGACCAGACGAGGACACTGTGCATATTCACCCAAGCCCTATCCATTAACTTTGCGAGACCGTCCCATACTCTGAGAGACTGTGACCCATGCCAACGGCCGTTTGTCGCAATCAGGCCATGTCTCCTGGGATATTCGATGCGTTCCGATATAGTGGCTTTGTTGCGATCCAGCAACTTGAGTAGAGGGTACGAGACGTCTTCGGCAAAGTCCTGGATTAAACAAAACGCACCGAAGATATCCGGCCCTGTATCCGCCGCGGGCGTGTCGGCCAATGCGACCAACGGCGCCGCCTTACACGAGAGCTCAAAATCTAGCATAAACTCATCCCGCAGGTCGCTGTCTCTGAAATCACCTGTCCACGCTATTTCGGAAGTATTGTCCTTCAAGAAGCGGGAGCCAATGTCTTCACCGGGCACTGGTTCGCCAAGCCATATGATCGTCTCGTGACTGTTGCTGTATATATCACCCATCATGCCAACTTGTTTGGTTCTCTCCGAAGCATCTGCTTGGTTGATACATAGCGCGTCCGCCCAAAGCAGGACCTCATGGTCAGGTTGTCGAAGTCTGCGCAGAGCCGTGAAAAGATTTTCAGAAACTGAAACTGACTTCCCGTTACACCGTATCAGCATTTGGCGAGCGACGCCTTCGGAACCCCATGTGTACGAAAGGGCGATGTAGCGGCCTCGAACATCGTCGATAGAGGAGATCTGAAGCGCTGCGCGGATGTCGTCCCCCCAGGCGCCCGGGTAGAGCTGTAGCACACGGATTGTACGGGATGCAGCATCGAGAGGTAGGTAGATATCTTTGGTAATCTTCCTGGCGCGTCTTCTGAGCTTTGACGCGATGCGCCGGGCCATGGTAGCGGGTGGAGCGTGGACAGTTGTCATCCAGCTGAAAATGCCCTCTGCTTACGCTTCGTGATAGCATGACTCAGCCTCTCACAGAGCGGGCGGCCTGACCCCCAAAGTTGACGGCCACCTTCAAAGTCTCGCGATAGAACGGATCCTGGAAACATTGCTGGTTTGATGCGATCGCCACTATTTGGCATCCGATGAACGACGAGGCGACAAGTTTGGTCTTCGTTGAGAGGTCAGCCGTGACGTCATATGCGCACGATCCCGACGGCTTCGGCTCTAATCGCCTGCGGTGCTCGAAATCGACGCGTCCTCATCGTTTGCCAAGAACCACATTGACGCATCAAACCTTTGTTCAACCACATCCTTCTCAGATTCTCTCGCTACCTGATGAGCATTCAATGAAGCTATGAAGCTGTCGCACAAGCATGCTGGGCGGCTCAGCTAGCGCCCGCAAAAGGAGCGTATGACGAGCGATCGCAGCAGCTAGCCTGTGCCTAGCGGTGTAGAAAAAGGTAAGAGAGACGAACGGGTGGCGTCCAGTGGAAGTCTCTAGTGCCAATAATAATTGATCGGCATGGCTTTGTACCTTGTTTTAGGACTGCTTTAAGGCCGGCGTGCCTTGAACACGTCGGGCGCTGCTCCGTTATCACGATCTTACTCTTCTCTCGATAGCAGGACATGCTATCGACAAACCTCCGTCGAGCTACCGTTGCGCTTTTAGCTTCAACTCGCTTAGTTCTGTGCTCCACCAGCAGCGAACATGAACAATTCAAGGACGTAACATGGGATGACCAGAACTGGGTTATAGCGACACATGCCCTGGATCAAGGCCACTACCAGTCCCGCCTAACGCTTGCAAACGGTTACTTTGGCATCAATGTAGCATCGGCAGGACCTTTTTTCGAAGTGGATGAGCCAGTGGACGGCGACGTCATAAGTGGGTGGCCGCTGTTCAGCAGACGACAAGCTTTCTCGACCATCGCAGGCTTCTGGAATAGTCAGCCACGAACAAACGGAACGAACTACCCTTGGCTGTATCAATATGGGTGGGAGAGCTTTACTGCTGGTATTCCACATGCTAGTGGTATCGTTGTGGAGGCCAACGGCGAATTCCTGAATGCGTCAGTCAACCCCGACCACATATCGGATTTCGTATCAAGTCTAGATGTAAAAGCTGGAATTGCGAGCTGGCGATACAATTGGCGGCCTGGTGGTTCCGGAGATGGGACAGTTGATGTGGACTATCAGATGTTCGTGCACAAGCTTTATGTCAATAAAGCAGCAGTCAGGCTAAGACTCACTGCGACACGCGACCTCAACGTGACGGTGTACGACATTCTTGACGGTGACTGTGCGGTTCGTTCGGACTTCGTTGAGAAGAAATTCGAAGAAGACACGCCTACGATCTGGTCCGCTGTCAGCCCGGGAAACATCACCGACGTAAAGGCTTATGTATATTCGACTCTGAGTGGCAGCGATTGGGTCAATCTTACTGCTCGTAGTGAAGTAGCCGGTGATATCTTCAGTGACGGCAATGGTTCAACGATTGCGCAGTCTCTCCCGGTCGAACTTGTCGCCTTCCGTCCCACCGAAATCACCAAGTTCATCGGAGTCGCATCGACGGATGCTTTCCTGAACCCGCAGAGTGTAGCACGCGACGCTTCACTATCCGGTGCCGAAGAGGGTTATTACAAGCTGCTGCATTCTCACATCGAGGAGTGGGAGTCCATTCTAACACCAGACTCGGTTGATGACTACCACCTACCGAATGGATCTCTCCCGGAGGATCCAGATGTACGAGCATTGCATATTATGGCAAGAACCAATCCCTTCTACTTGTTATCGAACATGGTCGGACCTAATGCTGTAGCTGCAGCCAACAACAATACAAAGCTCGATGTCTACAGTATTCCCGTCTGTGGGTTGGGCTCAGACTGCTACGGCGGTATGATATTCTGGGATGCAGACGTATGGATGGCCCCGGGAGTCCAAGTATCGCATCCGCAACACGCTCAGAATGTCATCAAGTATCGCGTAGAGCATTTCGATCAAGCGCAGCGCAACGTGGAAGCTGCGTACCAATCAAGCAAGAACCAGACAGGTAGGTTTACGCCTGGAGGGGCTGTGTATCCATGGACGAGTGGGCGATTCGGCAACTGCACGGGGACTGGCGCTTGCTTCGACTACGAGTACCACCTCAACGGCGACATCAGCCTCGCGCTCAACAATCACTTGATCATCACCGGAGATGGAGAATACTTCAACGACACTCTTCTACCCATCTCGAATGCCATTGCGCATTTCTTTGGCCAGTTGCTAGACTTCAACGAGACATCCGGGGCATATGAGCTCTGGAATGCTACGGACCCGGACGAATACGCCAATCAGGTCAACAACATTGCTTTTACCACTGCACTCATGCAACGCCATCTCCTCGAGACGAATGAGTTTAACAGCTGGTTTGGACGCAGCCCCAATGCTAGCTGGGCAGACAGGGCATCCAAGATGCGAATTCCAATTAACGAGGATGCTGGCATCATTGTTGAGTATACTGGAATGAATGGGTCAGTAGCGGTTAAGCAGGCCGGTAAGTAGCATCCAACTCTTCGACAGTTGAGTCACTAATCATAACTTCTAATTAGACGTTGTTCTGGTAGACGACCTACTACATTACCCCAACCCATACAGCTTAGCCAACCTGGATTATTATGCAGCAAAACAGTCTCTCGATGGCCCTGCGATGACATATTCTTCGTTTGCCGTTGTTGCAAATGAAGTATCACCATCTGGATGCTCGAGCTTTACCTACGATGTCTACTCATCCTCGCCATACGTCCGCGCACCGTGGTACCAATACTCCGAACAGCTCATCGACAACGTGGAGGAGAACGGGGGGACACATCCAGCCTTCCCATTCCTGACTGGTATGGGAGGAACCAACCGTGTTGGTATTTTCGGATACCTTGGGCTCGGCTTGTACTACGATAGATTGGATATCGATCCCACGCTGCCGCCACAGATCCCGTATCTGAACTACCGCACCTTCTACTGGATGGGTCATGGTATCAACGCTACCTCCAACTCGACGCATACAACGTTGACACGTCTGCCACGAGAGAATTATACATTACCCTCCGCGAACACGACATACTTTGATAAGCCCATCCCCGTCACGATCGGTACCCGCAGCAATCGCAACAATGTAACGTACGAGCTCGGTGATGAGCCACTCGTAGTCCGCAACCGACCGATGGGCGAAATATCTACAGTCGGCGGCAACATCCTGCAGTGCAAAGCTCTCCTTTCCCCGCCGCAAGGCAATAAGCCTGGTCAATTCCCCATCGCAGCTATCGATGGCGCCGCAAGTACGAAGTGGCAACCCGAACGGTCTAATATCACCAGCTACCTAACCGTAGATCTTGGCGACTCATCATTCTACCCTATCAACAAGGTCGTAATGGATTGGGGCAACCAGCCGCCCGCACACTTCCAGGTCTACTTCTCTAACAGAACTCTACCACCGTTCAAAAGTCAACCCGACTCAGAGCTCGATGAAGATGTGAGGAAGGTAATAGTAGGAGACGTTAAGATAAGTGCGCCTTGGGATCCAGTTACCGCGTATGAAATCAAGACGTACATTGGTAATCAGACGAATGTCACTCTTGAGCAGAGTGTTTGGAGCGGGCGGTATGCGCATTTGGGTATTAGTGGGAATCTTTTCGTAGAGAATGCCACGGATGGGGGGACGGTTGCGGAGTGGAGTTTGGTGAGGGAGGAATTTTGAATTGTTGGGTTTGGTGCCTGATGAAGCTGTCGTCTATGAAGGAACGACCGCACCGTTGGTACTCGTAGATTATAAATGATAGACTCATAATTAGCGGATATTCAACGTTGTTTCGTAACCACGAAGCTGGTGCAGTATCCAGCTCCAATCGTTTCGATCTCTCCTGGTATGCTGATTTCGTTCCAAAAACCACTGACCATATCGTTCTTCATTTCAAACCCAACATTTGAGAGATCGCCACAGTTCCCATGTTTACCCCAACCCCATGATATCAATCTGCCCTCTTTTGTCACAGCGAGGATGTGATCTGACCCAACAGCGATTTTATCCAGAAGCGGCAGATTGGGCGGTAGTAGTTGCCACATATTCTCTTTACCCCACGCGGTAAGAGTACCGTCATCGAAAAGCACGAAGATGGCGTGCCATGTAGCGCCTATGTCTTTCCAATTCTTGACATGTTCTGGCATATTCGAGATGATGTTGAATTTGTCTTTGCCGAGGAGATGATGTTTACCCTCGGCTGGAACACCGGCTAGGTATGTGAAGTCTTTGCCACATACCACCTTCTTGGGATTAAATGGTAGGCCTTCGATCTTGGTAGGCGCCATGACTTTGCCGCCGGATAACGCGTCTCCGAGCTGACCGAGCCGCCCTTTCCCCCAACCGTAGGCTGAACCATCTTGCATTATGACGACATAGTGCCAAACTCCCGCGGCGAAATCAACTACCCTGCCTGGAAGCAGAAGGTGGGCAAAGGTTTCGTCAGATGAGCGCAGAAGCTGGGAAGAGGTTTCGTCGTAGGAGCCAAGCTCACCCCAGCTGTTAGAACCGTATATTTTGACCCCGCTGGATGAAAGGTCGGAGATGAGCTCGACGTAAGCTGATGACTCGCATGTAGCGTCGGCGAAGCTGTTATCGAGGGCCAATACGTGGAATGGTTCGAGTCGAGATACGGACTTGTCCCTTCTCAGCTGACCTTTGCGATTGTCACCAACCCCGTAGACCACGCCGCTCTGAGTGAGAAAGAGCGTGTGATTATCGCCACCTCTGATGTATCTTATCTTATCAAGAGGAAAAGGGCAGCTGTCGGTTGTAAAATGAAGAACTCGGGTTGGAGTGTTGACTATCTCCGCTGCTGGTATTCCTAGTTGGCCTTCTCCATTGCTTCCGAAGACATAGAGTTGGAAAGACGAATTCTCAGCAACTGCTCCTTGAGATTGTGGAAGACGATTCGACATGCCTGGATCTCAGCACTTATATGCCAGTCAGAAGATTCAAGTGAGTGATAATTAATCGGTTTTGTAACGAAAACAATCGATGTGAGTGAGTGTCAACAAGAAAGAATGGGTAAGAGCAATATACTCTTCCAAAGGCTTTCGGTAGGTACGACGCTGCGAGCTTTGCAACCTTTACTCTCACAACTGGCGAACTAAAATTATGTATGGTGTCGGCTACCTTTGTTAAATGCTGCCTCGCGAATATATTTGCGCAGGCTACAGTGACTCGCACACTCGCAACGTTGAATAAGAGGCGATAGCGTAGAAGGCAAAACCACCACGAAGAAGATGCTCCGGATGAAGATCTGAAAATGCTCGTGGCGAGGTTGAGGATGCGCGGCTTTTGGAGGTGACGGCGCTAGCCTGCCGCGACGCTAATCGCTTACAGGGATAGCGGGTCCGTGCGCCCACTGAATTTCGACAAGCAACATCGTCGGGGAACTTCCACCCATCGACGACAGCCAAACCGACCACGCCCACCCGTACTAACCGCACGCACATTCCACAGTCGCCCAACATGGCCTCCCAGAGCGTGCAATGCTTCGGCAAGAAGAAGACCGCGACTGGTACGCAAAGCCCGCCGCCCGACCTCCCAGAGCAAGAAGAAGAACAAGGCTAACAATACCGCCCACAGCTGTCGCCCACTGCAAGGTACACACGCAATGCCACGATCGAACGCGCAACCGAACAGCATACTTACGATAAAATTCTAGGCCGGAAAGGGTCTCGTCAAGGTTAACGGAAAGCCTCTTTCCCTCGTCCAGCCCGAGATCTTGCGATTCAAGGTCTACGAGCCCATCCTCATCCTCGGTGTTGACAAGTTCGGTACGCACACACGAAGCCCCCAGGCTGCAAGTACGGAGGAATTGCGGACAGAGTACTAACAACATGGGCAGCCGATGTCGACATCCGCGTCCGCGTCTCCGGTGGTGGACACACCTCGCAAGTCTACGCCATCCGCCAAGCCATCGCCAAATCCATCATCGCCTACTACCAAAAGTACGTCGACGAGCACTCGAAGAACCAGCTCAAGCAGGCCCTGATTCAGTACGACCGCACACTGCTCGTTGCCGACAACAGGCGGTGCGAGCCCAAGAAGTTCGGTGGTCCAGGTGCGCGCGCCAGGTACCAGAAGTCTTACCGTTAAGCGGTATCACTTTTGGGCTTGGAGAGGAGAAAGATGGAGCGGTGTATGGGGGAGCATGGAGCGGTGTTCATCCTGGGCTTTTACATGGGGTCTTCTACTGTCTACTATCTATCTCCTTGAGGACGAGGTTACGTGACATGGCGCGCAACGGCTGCCTGGTACGATCCCCCGGCTTGTGACGATACAAAATGAATACATTGGTTGCAAGAACATGGACAACGGCACGTCGAATGTGGATGGTAATGAGATTCTCAGTGAAGCAGGATAAATGAATGTCAATCGACTCTTCCCCCAACGAATACCTAGGCACTGAAGTGGTACAGGCAGAGCAAGTACACAGCTGTCAAGACATATCATGAAGAGGGCAATGGACTCTATTGACGGTCTAACATTCACCGTCTCCAACACCAACGCTTCCATGCATTAACACACATACACACACAAACTGACACAAAGCTATGCCCCAGCCAACCACTTCACCTTCTCATCTTTGTAAGAAGACCCCCGGAGGTCAATGCTGTTGTTGGTATAGCCATAGATTTTGAGAGGCGAAGGTTTCTAACCATCGCTACCGCTGCTCCTAAATGCCGCACACAGCGCGGCATACTGGTGTGTGAGATCGAGGACGTGCTGCGGTAGCGAGGTACCCTGAATGATGCTGCGGATTTTGACGGCGCCTTCTTCTTCGATGAGTTTGCGGATTGTGTAGAGGAGGGAGGGGGAGAACTGGGGGTTTAAATGTTAGTTTGCTATCCTGTGGGAATGAATGGATGAAGGGTAGACTTACCTCGGAGTACCATCGGTACTGCCAGGTGACTAGTCTGATCAATGCGGCGGTAACGTCCCTGACTTGTCTCCTCTCCTCGCCTAGCTTTAGGACACCTCTCATGGCTTTTGGTGAGAACTTAATCTGTAGACAATTCTCATACGCCTCCACTGCCTCCTCTGTGTGATGCAGCCTCTCAGCGAGTTCACCCAGAATCTCCCACTCCTCACTGCTCTTCTTGTATAGAAGTTGCTGCTGCCTGTACTGCGCCATCTCAGTCCGCCAGATTGTGTATACGCGCAGGTCCTCGTACAGGACCATGAAGAGGTTGTCGAGCCAGCGTTCGCAGAGGCGCTTGTTCTGGAAGTGTGTGTAGTTTGGTTGCGAGGGGTTGCCATTGTTTGCGGCGTCGTGTGCGTGAGGGTCTTCGCTGCCGGCTTTCACAACTTCAGAGGCGACAGTGTGCATGGGCTTCTCGAGATCGTGGACTGCTTCGGCGGCCGCAGACGATGGTTCGCCGTTCGTGTTGGACATCTCTGCGGAGGAGCGTTCCTCGACTTCGCCATGATCACCGTTTGTTTGCTGAGCGTGTGTGTTTGGGGAGGGAGAGCGAAGTGCTGTCGTGCTGGCGCTGCGAGAATGCGGTTGCTGTGCGGTCTTCTCATGACGGTATTCCTCCTCCATGACGAAGACTTGGCTGCGTATCTTGAGTAATTGATCCCAGCCAATCTTCTTTGTAATCTCGGTCAGTAGGATGTAGGCTTTGAGGAAAGTACCCTTGAAACCTGCAGCGTGCAGCTTCCTCAGAGTTGGGTGCACAAGCTCCATATCGTCGACGTTGGAATCTTCGATCTCGTCGCACATGGCTTCTGGCATGACAGGCAGGAAAACTCGCTGTGGCTCCGGCATCCGTGGTGCGTCCTTGTCTTGGTAGGTGAACATGGGACATGAGTTGAGGGTCAAGAGCGCCATGTCCCACTGTTCGAGACTGACGTATATCTCTGCTAAGCGCGCCCATGTGCCAAACTCACTAGGTGCAGACACAACGCTCCTCTTAGCAATCTCAAGCGCCAGGTCGCCGCGGCCCTTCTTGTTGCAAAACTCGGCTTGGCAGTCGAGCAGAGAGTAGTCCATGGGCAGTTCTTGGATGGCCTCGTGTAGCAGCTGAACTGCCTGCACCTCTTCATCTGCCTCGATGTATACCCGCGCCAATAGGGAAGAGATCTCCGGATCGCGAGTTCGCAATTTCTCGAACAGGTTAATGCCTGAAGTGTATCTACCGGTGGTGTGAATGTAGTCGAGAAGACCCGTAGTCAAGTGGTTCGAGACGAGATTTGGGACTTGAATCTCAGGATCAGATCCTAATTGCCAACCTAAACTGCGTTAGCGGAGACAACATCATGCAAGCGAGTGTCGTACCGTTGAAGAACAGGCGCTCTGCTGCATCCAGAAACTTGTGCTCGCTCTCGGTACTTGTGATGGGATTGAATCTCCGCACACCAACAATCTTCTTGATCGTGTCGCCGGAGCCATCGTCAGCATAAGAATATGCGCGGAGTACGCTACACAGGTAGGTCTCCAGCCAAAGTTCGTCGCTGGCTACTCGTTTGTCGCCGCGCTCATCGATGCAGTAGCTCTCCACAGTGCCAGGGATGTAGACCTGCACGCGCATATCCAAGCGTGAGAAGGCATTGTAGCAGCTGCTCGGTCAGCAATTGCCAGCGCCGCAAGGAGACATTCCCCTACCAATACAGCCCAGAGACAACCTTATTTTGTTTGTCGTGCGCAGAGTATGTGAGGGTGTTGATGTAGGCTGCCAAGCTGGCAGACGAGGAAGCGTCTACGCCGGATACGTGGTGGTAGACGCCAATCTAATCACATGTCAAATTGGGTTCGCGGGCACTGTGCGGTCGAAGGTACTACGGACCTGTTTTGTCGCATTCTTGATGGGCTGCTTTATGAGGTGGACCAGATCTGGCGGGCCCAGCTCTCGTAGGGTCTGCAGAGATTCTGAGCGCGCTTCGATTGCTGAGTGTAGCTCGTCCTCGTAGATCCTAGAGCCGTGTTAGAAGAGATCACAGCCAGAATGCGCCATGACGGTGTGTTGTGACTCGGTGACAAAAGGAAGGATACAGGTGGGCGCATATGTAAAACATGTATAGATTGAAAGCTAGTAGGATGCGCGTACTCGGGAACAGCTGGCGAAGTGACCATGACTTCAATTGGCGCCGCAGATGCGGGGGGATGATGGCGGTGAGAAGGATGCTATGGCGGGGGCGGATTGCTGGCGGAGGGGCCTAGTAGACACTTCACAGCCCAGGCGGATGTTTGTCAGGGCTTCGGTGTCCTCGTTGAGCATGGAGGGCACGCACGGTAGCTCATCGCGGAGGACCGCAGCTGCCAAGACGGGGCATCCCTGCGCTCCATCATTCACTGTCGCGTCGCGTCACACCGAGGCCTCACAACGTGTCATAGGCCACAGCGCAGTCGCATCCCACCCTCTTTGCCCAAACCATCGTCGCGCCTCCATGGTTGCCTGCTGCTCAGGGTCTGTACTACCAATGCTGTGAAACGTCTCTCATTCGCCTGTCGGCCTTTCCTAACTGCCTACAATCACGCACATTCCGCATCATGGTAAGTACAACCCCGGCATTCTCAACCATGCCCGCTCACATTTCGCAGTCGAAGGCCTCTACGTGGCATCCCTACAATGTCGAGCTTCCTGAGGAGACCGCCGAAGAAGAAGTCGACGATACCCAGGAGATCCAGATTGAAGAGGCGCTGAAACTCTATCAAACTGCTCTCAAATACCACTCCGAAGGCCCTCCGTCGTTCGACAAGACCGCCGCGGCTTACAAAGCTCTCTTCGAATCAGAAATTTTCAAATACGCCGAATCCCTCTCCGAATACCAGCGACATGAGGTCTTTGGCGAAGACCTGGTGTTCGACACCATATTGGAGGATGACTACGAGGCAGGCCCCGTCCAGTCTACAGGCGCTGCTGATAGTGCCCCCAACACACTCCAACAAATACTCCACTTGTCATACAAGAACCATGGCCAGTTTCTGCTTGAGGCGATGCAGCATTGGATCGCTACCAGTGGCGTGTCACCGCAGATGGAGGCATGGAACAACACACGTGGCGCCCTGAACTACTTTGCCGAGGCTTTGGATAAGGAAGACACCGATCTAGATCTCTGGTTGCGTGCTGCGTCTGTTGCGGCTATGCTAGGCAGCAAGCGCCTTACTCGCTACTGTCTGGAGGCAGTCTTGGATGGAAACGACGAGCAGTGGGAGAGCCTGTTACGACTTCCTGGGCTGGAGGAGGGTTTTGCCGGACAACAATTGCGCGAGCTTGTAGAACGTTTGGAGGACAATGTCTCACTGAGCCAGGCACCACTATCCTCCATCAAACGCAAGAAGCTGTCCGAGACGTTGAAGAGGCGCCTGAATCCGTTTCCGTTCGCGCCTCTCCCAGCCGATGTCGCCCTCGCTGAAAATCTACACAATATGAAGGTGGCACCGGAGAGCACGACCTTGACTCCGACGAAGTGGGACTGGGCAGGAGTAGGTGATATCATTGTACGGCAGTTCCTCTCGGAGCAACAGGGAATGACACCTAACGTCCCTTCTGGTTCCAACATAGTCTTCAGCATACCGCCCGAAAGCGAGACCCCTGAGCGCATCGAGTCTGAACCGCCCGCACCTGTACAGGATGCCTTGATGCCCGCGCCTGCGTCCGCTCCGACTCCATCGCCACAGATTGAAGACCCGAACGCCACAGCGACTCAATCGGAACATGTACCGGAAAAGGATGGCGAAGATACCAACATGGAAGAGCAGGAGGCCGACAGCGAAGTTAAGAACGAGGAAGTTGCACTTGTTGGCCCTTCCAATGTTGCACCGGTCCCATCGCGCAAACGCTCGACAGATTCTGCTGGCCTGCCTGAAACCGCAGAGGGTGGGAGGTCACGCAGTAAACGCATTCGGGGTCGAGAGTCCATACTCGAGCCAACCATTGGTGGAGCAGCTCAGGAGGCTAGTAAACAGCTTGATGCACAACTTGAACCGTACACGTACGCAGACTCATGCCTCTATGAGATCCTCAAGGATATGTATGCGAAGCTTGGTGTTGAGGGCATGAAAGACCCTGATGAGCTGCGTAAGCTGGTTACGGCGCTCCCTGACGCGACTGCTACAGATCCGATCGACAAAGCGGCTTGCGATTTCTTCACAGGACTAAGGAGCGGGCACGTCAAAACTGCGCAAATACTTCTCAGCTCCGAGTCTTTCGATCTCCTCGGTGCGACTAGGGAACACGGGCTAAATGCATTTCTGGGGTTTTCCAAATCAAGTTCTAGTCAAGCCTCTAACAAACCTCTGCTGGAAAATCAAGGGTTGAACACGTTCGTAAGGTCTGTCAACAATGGTTGGCTCTCGATCGAAGAAGTCGCATTCGGCTGGATTGAATCTCTGTTTACCCCAGGTTTTTGCTCCCAAGTGGGGACTCAGCCGAGTGATCAGTCAAGCTACCTGCAGTTTAGATGGGCGGAAGATCTCAAGCGAAACGTTGTACAAGTCATCGTTCGTATCGACGAGTTCATATACGAGCGCATGTCTGAACGCGTCGATAGCCTCAATAGACGGATACTAGACGCTACATATCGGTCTCAGACGTATGAGCTCTCTGACTTTGACAAGTCGCAGATAGAGATGGTGGAGGCCTTGTTCGAG